TAATTGACCTGTTTTCATTTGTGATATTATTTCATTTAGGTACACATTGTTTCAATATTCTCTAATCTGTTCTTATCATATGTATCTCTTGGAATCATTAATCATAATAAATGACAATTTAAAGATGGATATAATCTCATTGATAATAAGTTTTATTAAAAAGAAATAATAAATAAAAAAGAAGAAAAATCAATGATGATTATCTTAAAATTGTTTTAAGTTCAAATAAAATAAAAATGGAAAATATAACAAGAAATAATAAATCAATAATGAAATTAGGATATAATGAAATAATGATAGTATCAATGTATTTTAATGATATTATTGATTTTATTAATTTAGAAATTGGAGTTAAAAGATTTCAAGGAAATATGGAACGATTTCATTTTAATCCAATTCCATTAAATCATTATTCAAGAAGATTATTTACTAATATTGAAACACTTCATATTTATAATGAAAGGGATAGAGTGTTTAATGATGGAAAAATATTTAAATATGTAATATGGTATAAAGTAGAATATTTAACATATTTAGAAGAAAAAGGTCAATGGGATATATATAAAAATATAATATACACATATAAAAATAGAGAAATATTTGGAGCTATAATACCACTGGAAGCTAAATCACTTGGACATGAATGTTTTTATGAATGTTATGATGTTCAAGAAATTACTATACCATCATCAGTTAGTGAAATAGGATATAGTTGTTTTAATGGATGTACATCATTAACATCAATTATTATACCACCATCAATAAGGGAATTCAAAGTTAATTGTTTTTGTGAATGTTGTTCATTAAAATCAATTAATATACCATCATCAGCTAGTAAATTGGATAATAAATGTTTTTCAGGATGTTCATCATTAACATCTATTACTATACCTTCATCAATTAAAGACATAGGGACTGATTGTTTTTCAGGATGTTCGTCATTAAAATCAATTAATATACCTTCATCTATTACTAAATTAGGAGATGAATGTCTTAGTGGGTGTATATCATTAACATCGATGAATATAGATAATTTACAATTTATTAGTGAAGAAAAAATATTTATAAATGAGCCAGTGTTAATTAGTATGAAAATACCAAAACCCATACAAATGATCAATGGAAAAAGAGCTGAAAAGAAAGACATTAATAAATTTATTATTCCATCTTCAATTTACTAAATTAGTGGATAAGTGTTTTGGATATTGTTTCTCATTAACATCAATTGATATACCAACAACAATTAGTGAAATAGGTTATTGTTGTTTTAATCAATGTAAATTATTAAAATCAATTAACATTCCAACAACTGTTAGTAAATTAGAAGATGGTTGTTTTTTAGGTTGTTCATCATTGACATCAATTAAAATACCAACATCAATTAGTAAAATAGGAAATGAATGTTTTTCTGGATGTTCATTATTACCATTTATTAATATACCAACATCAATTAGTGAATTCAAAATTAATTGTTTTGCATGGTGTTATTTATTAACATCAATTGACATTCCAACAACAATTAGTAAATTAGGAAGGTCTTGTTTTAGAGAATGTATATCATTAAAATCAATTAACATTCCATCAACTGCTATTGACATAGAAGAG